CTACACAAATTAATATATTCGATAATAAAATTTTTTCTTGTTCAACTGTAAATCCTGTTGTTGATCCATTACAATAACTATTTGTTGTTGGATCACATGATGTATTTCGTAAAATATGTATTGCTGCTAAACCACTCATTAAAACAGATTGCCAAAAAATAAAAAACACAATTAATTTAATAACAATAAATTTTGGTAATGGTTTAAATGGTTTTAATTCTTCTTTTGTATTCGTATAAAATGCTACTAAACTATACAATGCTAGTGTTTGACTAATATTAATAATGATAGTTATATATGGATAACCTCGACTAAATGTCCATTCTCCATTTCCATAAACACCGGCTAAATTAAGAACAACAGCAATTCCAGCACATATTGGAGTAATCCATGAATATTGTAATAGACCAATTTTAAAATACCAAACCCATTTATTACTTGGAGTTACATTAACACAACAAAGTGGAAGAGGAAGTTTAATTCGTTCTTGAATTAAAATAACTTCTTCAACACCACGATGACCACCGAGATATTTTGTTAATAATAAAAGAAAACAATAAATAACATAAGCTTCATAACATGACTGCACGAATTCCATATAAATAGCGGATTCAAAAAATAAAAGTGATAACCATGATGTCATTGCATATATAGGAACCATACCGATAATTCTCATAATTCGTTTTTGAGATGGATGATGTGTTTTATGAGCAAAATGTTGAATTATTTGAACAAGAGACATACATGATGCAACAATAGCAAAAATACCACCGATAATAGCCATAAGACCTTGTTCATGAACAGGATCTTTATATATTTGCCATTGAACAGGACTGTTAACAGCCCATATAATAATAAGTGAAATGGCACAACAAAGAATAACAAATATTCCCCATGTAACTTCATTTTTAATAATAGATAAAATTCTTTGACAACATGTATTTCTCTGCTGTGGACGGTTTCTCGGTAAATCTACATGTGGATATTGTGTTTGAATATGGGCTGCTCGTGCATATTGTTCCATCATTTCTTATGCAAATTATTCTTATGATGGAAAGTTATAAGGTAGAAAAAATAATGAATCAGTTAACCGTGCCCACCACCAGTTAGTAAATTTATCTGTATGACGAATAAATTAATAATCACAAAGAAATGTCATATACAGGTAATTATTTGTTTATTATTGTAAGACGATTCGTGTGAACGCTACGCCTTCATCATCACCAGTTGCTTGTTCGTTCTCCATATGCCATCGAAAGTTGCCAAATAACCTTCATCGTCTTCGTCGGTTCTTTTACTCGTTTTTTTTATACTTTTTTTTATGACAAAAATAATGTAAAAAACGGCGGCCTATGTTATGTTTGTAAAGAAAGAAAAAGAAGAATGTCACTAAAAAAGAATAAAATATTCTGGTCCTTTTAGTCAGATGTTGTTGTTGTTGTCGTTACTGTAGTCAATGGAAGATGATTATTCATGAAGTATTTTGAAGAAATAAGTTTAAATTGTTACCTGTAGTATTGAAAAGAACCATTTTAGTTTTACAAATAATTATTTATATTTACAATCATTTTTGTTATACATTAATCGATAAAAATTGTTTGAGCTAACGGAAAAATTCATCTCTGTTATTCATTGTAACATAATAATATTTTTAAAACCCATATAAAATAACAGAACAAGAAATAAAATGTCGGCAGTAATATGGTTTACATTTTTCAGTAATTGCAGTCACATTAATCTATTAACAGTCCTATTAGAATTTTCTAAATACAAATTACATGAAAATATCTATCCATTCTATAGTGAATGATGACTAACGGCCTTGTAGTGATTCATATATATGTATTGAAATGTTTTATACGAATAAATGGGTTCGTAATGGTACAAGTATTCAATGACAACCGTATCAAATCAATTTTTAGTATGTAAATACCTATTTTATGAAGATGTGTTCACACTTGACTGCCTTAGTACCTAACATTTGTGAATATATTGAGGTTATGTTTGAATATAGTAACGTTAGTGTCAAGGATCTGTCAAGGAAGATCTGATAAATGAACCATAAAATTATAACAATATTGTCTAATATTATTCATTTCAATTGACTTTATAACTGCATGAATCATTATATTCGGTCAAGTTCAATTTTGTTAAGTTTTATCTGATCATATAATTTTTGTAACCTTATTGATAATATCTTTCTCATTTTGTGATGTATCAAGCATTGATACTACGAATTAGTTATCGCTCACTTCGCCTGTACTAAGAATACTGAATTTTAAATATATTTTTTAAAAATAATATTGAACATCAAAAGTTATTCATTGTAATTATCATCATTAGTTTATTAAGTGAAATATGATTGCCGTACTTATATCAGGTTCTTTATATAGTCTTAGAAAGAGAATTGATCTTTAAAAAATAAGATACTTACTCAAATATTGAAAGAAAAAAATTCTACAACTGATACATTTCTATAGTTTAAAAGGTACACTTAACAAAATGCTTTTAGAATTATGTATTCTTCTTTGTATGTCTTTTAAATGAGTTTGATCAAGGTAATCAGTCTTATGGACAAACATGAACAGTGCGTTTTCGATGTCATCTTCTTTATACTATACTCCTCAGAGTATATCTTAAGGGTAATCAAGTTAAGATTTAAATGAATTATTTAATTTTAAAGAAAAGAAAATCAAAATTAATATGAATCACAGCTGAAAATAAGACAAGTCAAAGGAGTTATATAAATTTCGAATTGACTAAAAATTCTAGCTTTTACTGTAGAGAATATTTATAGAAAGGATGAGACCCTGATATATACACGATATTTTTTATGATCAATATTTTCATACACTCCATACTCGTATTGATGGTTGCCTGACATCACAAGTAAAAGCGAAGTGGGATTATAAATGTTTATGATTTTGGGTTCTAAAATGAAAGAATACATGATTGATATTTTGAATATACAAAATAGTGGTTAGTCTTATTTTAAATTTGAATATTATTTACGATGCTGATTATATTTAATCAATAGAAAGTCTATGGTTTTAAATTTTAGATATACTTTTATAATTAAGAGATAAATGCTTTTGCTCTTTTATTGGGACTATCTACATAGGAGTATTAATTTAAATGAATAACTCTCTCTCGTGATGTCATTTCTTACATATAGATCTCATAATAGGCCTAGCAGTCTTTTTAATTAAGATTCAAATGTAAATATACATTGCAGTAAACAAAATGACTATTTTTCTCATATATTTGCTATACTTTAATAAAAGAATAGTCACAGCTGTAGTAAGTACAGGCATTGTATGAAATAAGCATAAAAATAATTTATTATTCTGCTTTTTATCATATCTATAGACGAGAATATTTTTTTAAAAAAATTTGAGTATCCAGACGAGCTCTTGTAACTGTACTTCTTTTCCTTCCTAACATATATATATATATATATATACCATTTCATATCCTCTATGACATAACTTTATATCCAGTATCTTTAGGTTCTTCATACCCAAATTGACAGATTGAAAATTATAAAATATTTGATGAAGGACTTTACATAAACTGCATTTACTTACTGAGGACTACAATAAAATTGAACGATTAAGATAGTAGTACCTTTATTCATTTCATGAATTGTTTGTGTACATGATGGCTGATCAAGTCTTAGAATTAAGCGTTCGTTGATTTGCATATTGGATTAGTATTTCTATTGAATTGATTAAAAAACATATTTATTTATAAATAATTCATAACTATTTATTTTTAGCATAATATTATTTTTACAGTTATATTATACAAGAGAAAAACGTTCGCACACAGTTTTCTCTCAAAGAGTCTAAAAATGAAATGATTTATTTAACAAAAAAAAAAATCTTTTTTTCGGTATAAAGACGTCAGAAGTTGATTTGAATTATTGTTTAATAAGAAATATTCATCTTGTATCGTAAAGCGTGTTTTATATCAAGATCATATGTTATCTATATGAAATAGTTTGAGGATATGAATTACAAATTCTTGATTAAATTTTGTCATGTTTATTTTTTTAGCATGTAGTTTAGCTCGATCTTTCAAGAAAAAATATGTTTTTCATTTATACATGTGATTTTATGTGTAAAAATGGAATAAAATAAATTTTATTGTAATGTCGTCATTTCTTATGATGGATATTGATTATTCTAAAAAAATGCCAAATTGTGTTGTTTAGATGTGTTTTTCTGTTAATTCTATTCCTAAAAACCGATGGTAAAGTTTTTTAATTGTAATGAATATATTAGTACTTACTTTTGAATTTCATTGTTATAGTGCATTAGATGACTTTATCTTATTCATTAAGATCATAAAATGAAGTAGTTAATCATATGGGCTCCACTGATCGTATAAACTTTATCATAATCTGAATAATCATTGAAACTACCGTTCAGATAACTAATTCAATTGGCATCGATTAACTTCAGATGAACAAGACTAATCTCATTTTGATTTCAATTTATTCTTGATAGTTGCAGATAGGTGTTGACATTATACTTTTAATTTTACTCAAATCTTCAAAATTTAAGCGCCTCACGCTCGTTTCATTGCACAAATCATAATAGACGAATAATTGTATCACTATATTAATTCTTTACGAGTGTGTTCCTTCTAATAAAAGAAATTGGACGATGCGTTCAGGACATATCCAAATATATTTATATCACAGCTGTCTCACCTTTTCTTCATCATGCAATGCCCCGTTCAACACTATTACAATTCAGTTCCATATAAGTTATTCTTCTCTTATTACAGAGAATATCCTCGTAAAGATTTAGAAACGTAAATATGTCTGAGAAGATCATTTATACACATACGTATGTATGTGTATTGCCTTATCAGTCGGCTTTTCATATTATGTTTTTATTATTTACAGAGTTGTTCTCTGTACGTACTCGTGTCCCATTGAAAAATAGAATTAATTCAAAAACAAATGAGCAAAATCGTCTTCTATTTATTCATCACTTATTTTTTATAATCTCTTCTTTTACAATTTCAATACTCTCTTTCGTAGTTTTTATATCAGGATGAGTTAGAGGTAATGCACGTTGCCTGATGTACAGAGCACGTTCTAAATATGAAAGTGCTTTCGAATACTCTTTCATGCTGTCATACACCAAACCGATGTTGTTGTATGAAGTAGCCAAATCAGGATGATTTGAAGGAAGAGCTTTTTGTTGAATTTCAAGTGCTTTTCCGTGAGATGAAAGTGCTTTCGAATAGTCTC